AACCGTCCTGCACTCTGGGCAATACTTAGCAAGCTTGGTTGCCCACCTCGATTCGTAGAGATCATCCGCTCCTTCCATGATGGCATGCTTGGCAGGGTCATAGAAAATGGTGATGCTTCTGACCCTTTTCCGGTGGCAAATGGCGTAAAGCAAGGTTGTGTGCTTGCCCCAACTCTCTTCAGCCTTCTTTTTGCACAGATGCTTTCTGCAGCACTCGCCCAAACTAGTGCAGGAGTCACAGTACACTATCGTACCGATGGCGACTTCTTCAACATCCGTCGCCTGAAGGCTCATAGCAAAGTGCGTCAGGCAGTTGTGCGAGACTTCCTCTTTGCAGATGACTGCGCACTTGCAGCTCACTCTGAGGAAGATCTCCAAGAGCTTGCTGACTGCTTTGCCACTGCAGCAAAGATGTTTGGGCTGACAATCAGCATTAAGAAAACCGAGGTACTGAGACAGCTTGCACCAAACACCACTCGGCCTCCACCCAACATCACTATGGATGGCAATACCCTGAAAAATGTGGAGAGCTTCAAATATCTAGGCAGCAGTATAAATTCTGCAGCCAACCTCGATGATGAGGTTCTGTGCCGCATCTCCCAAGCTAGCCGGGCATTCGGGCGTCTACACACACGAATATGGCAAGAGCGGGGCATCTCAACCAAAACCAAGCTGAGCGTATACAGGGCTGTGGTACTACCATCTCTCCTTTATGGCTGTGAGACTTGGACTTGCTACAGGCGGCATATCCAAAAACTAGATCAATTTCACCTGCGCTGCCTGCGCAAAATCCTCCGAGTCAGTTGGAAGGACCGTGAGCCCAATCAGGAGATTCTTCGGAGGGCTGGGCTCACTGGCATTGAAGCCATGCTGAGTCAGTCACAGCTTCGCTGGTCTGGGCATGTCACCCGCATGGACGACAGCAGACTTCCTAAACAGCTGTTCCATGCTGAGCTTTCAACTGGGAAACGTCACAGAGGTGGGCAGAGGAAACGTTACAAAGATTCTTTGAAATCTACCCTCAAGTCCTACAACATCCCAGTTGATGGGTGGCAAGCCATGGCCCTGGACCGACCGAAGTGGAGGGCAACCATCCGTGAGGGCAAAGAGATATTCGAAAACTGCAGACTGCAGAGGCTGGATGAAAAAAGACAGGCTAGAAAGACCAAAGTGCCTGATCCCAGCACTGCAGTGTCCTGCGATCTGTGCGGCAAGGTGTGCGCTTCCACCTTTGGGCTCCAAGCCCACAAGCGCAAACACTGATGCGTCATCCTCGAATACGAAGGACCACCATTATTATATATATGTATATATGTATATATGTATCTATGTATATATATATATATATATATATACATATATATATGTATATATATGTATATATATATATATATATATATATATATATATATATATATATACATATATATATATATATATATATATATATACATATATATATGTATATATATATATATATATATACACATCATATATATATATATATATATATATATATATATATATATATATATGTTGTGGTGGGTTCTTTTAATGTTAGCCACTTTTTAGATCCTTCATCACTTTATCTAACACTATTAGAGGTGGGTATATAAACAATCATTCATAATTAGTAATATATTTACAGATTTTCATAATAAACATAAATCAGTTTTCTATAGTAGTCACTCCCTTGATGTGAATCCAGGGAAAACGGCAAGTCGCCCTGTTAAGAGCGGACTGGGGCACTATTACGGCTACTCCTGTTTCGCCCATTCCCTTTTTAGAGTTGATGCATCAGACTTTGATATTATATTAAAACTCACGAGAATGCAGGTGAGCACCGTGCTCTCTGACAGGTGTGGGTGAAAAGACGCGCCTACTTTGCGCCCTCACCGTCATCGCCTTTGTTATGCCTCAGGCGTTCGTATAAGACAAAGGGAGATGCTTACAAAAACCCTTACAAAACTTAAATAACCTTTTTTTATATATAAATATATTTACGTAATCCAACAGGTTACGTAAAATTAATGTTTTGAATGAATATTAGACCAATCCATGGACATATATACATATATATACACACACACACACACACACACACACACACATATATATATATATATATATATATATATATATATATATATATATATATATATATATATATATATATATATACATATATGTATATATATATATATATATATATATATATATATATATATACATATATATATATATATATATATATATATATATATATATATATATATATATATATATATATATATATATATGTATATATGTATATATGTATATACATATACATATTTATATATACATATATATATATATATATATATATATATATATATATATATATATATATATATATATATATGAATGAGGAAAACACTCTACCGTGTTGATATTATGGTAGAAAAACCCACAATGTAAAAACTAGATTTATTGAGAAAGAAAGTGAGACTACAGTTTCGGAATCCACCTGGATTCCATCCTCAGGTCTGAAGAGGAAAGGGAGAGGAAGGGGTATAAGAGGGAGAGAGGACAGGCAACGCGGAGACACGGGGCAGGTGAGGACAGACGACGGAAGCGAAGGGAGGTCAGATCAGGTCGGAGGGTCGGGCGGATTGTGTGCAGGATGGCCGGCGTACGGGAGAAGGCGGAGGATGTGTGAAGCGAGGAGGCTGTCGGCGGGAGAAAAGCCGCTGTTCAAGTTAAAATTAGGCAGCAGCTTTATTAAGGAAGATTCCACCAGTCTGCGGGCGTGGACGTCAGCGGAGGGGAAGACAATTCGCGCCGCTGACCAGTCCATCTGATGGCCTGTGTCCCACTGATGGCAGAAGAGAGCGTTGTTGTTGTGTCCCCTGGATATAGCATACTTATGTTGAGACAAGCGCTTAGTGAGACTAGCGCCCGTCTCGCCAAAGTATTGCTTATCACAGGAACCACAGGGAACAGCATAGGTGCCCACCTTCAAGAAAGAGGGAGGGCTGGTGTGGACCAGGTTACGACGGAGAGTGTTCACCTGGCGAAAGATCAGCCTGCAATTGAGAGTGTGAAGAGGGCGGCGGAGAGAGTGGATCTCCTCCGTGTAGGGCAGGCTGAGGGTGGGCAGGTGAGGAGTCTCTTTAGGAGAGGACTCGTGGTAGAAGGTCCGCCGTGCTCTGGAAAGCGCGGCGTCAAGGACATGACGAGGGTAGCCCAGTTTGGAGAACGAACGACGCAGAACGTCGATCTCTCCGTCCAGGTACTGGGGGTCACAGATGCGGAGGGCGCGGAGGAACAGCGACGTGGCAACACCTCTCTTTACATGAAGAGGATGGTAAGAGAAGAAGTGTATATACATACCACTATGCATGGGCTTCCTGTATATGGAGAAGGAGAAGTGGTCAGCAGAGCGATGAACAAGGGTGTCCAGGAAGGGGAGCTTGTTGTCAGCCTCCCATTCCACCTTGAAACGGATGGAAGGGGAGAGAGAGTTCAGCTGGGTCAAGAAGTCCGAGAACAGGGCAGGGTCATGAGGCCAGAGAGCGAAGACGTCGTCGACATACCTCAGCCAAACCGTCGGACGAAGAGAGATGGAAGGGAGAAGCTCAGATTCGAAGAATTCCATAAACAGGTTAGCCAAGACCGGAGAGAGGGGAGAGCCCATAGCAACACCGAAGGTCTGGGAGTAGAAGCGACCCTCAAAGGAAAAGGAGTTCGATTCCACACACAGACGAATCAGCTGGAGGAAGACGTCGGTGGGCAGAGGGAGACGAGGATCCTCTGGGGGGAGGCTCCTCTCAAGGAAAGTGAGGACGTCATCAAGCGGGACCTTAGTGAACAGGGAGTCGACATCCAAGCTCATCATGGTCGCCGGCGAGACACCCCGGACACGGGAGATGAAGTCCTGGGAATGACGGAGGTGAGCAGGAGAGAAGGTGCCGAGAAGGGGAGTGAGGGACTTCGCCAGCCAGGCTGCCAGAGGGTGCGTCACAGATCTCCGGGAGGAGATAATGGGGCGCAGGGGCACGGCCGGCTTATGGGTTTTAGGAAGCCCATAGAAGTGAGGGAGGCGAGGGTTGATGACCTTGAACCTCTGGTAGAGGTTCGCCTCCGGGACACGAGCTGCTATCGCCTTCAGGCGACGGTGGAACGTGGCAGCAATGCGTTCCCGGGGGTCGCTGGTCAGGGGAGCGTAGGTGGAAGCGTCATCCAGCAGGTCCCGGGCCTTCTGGGTTTTTCTACCATATATATATATATATATATATATATATATATATATATATATATATATATATATATATATATATATATATATACATATACATATATGTATGTATATGTATATACATATATATATATATATATATATATATATATATATATATATATATATATATATATATATATATGTATATGTATATGTATATATGTATATATGTATATATGTATATATGTACATATATACATATATATATATACATATATACATATATATATATATATATATATATATATATATATATATATATATATATATATATATATATATATATGTATGTATATATATATATATATATATATATATATATATATATATATATATATATATATGTATATAATGTATATATGTATATATGTATATATGTATATAATGTATATATGTATATATGTATATA